ATGGATATTAAAAAGTCTTTTTAATATATAGTGCAAATATTAAATATTGGCTGGCTTATAGTTTTGTGAATTGAAGCACAAAATGTAAATGAAGACTTGGAAATATGTGACAGATGAAGAAAAAGATATCAAGGTGAGCATAGGAAACTAACCAATACATATATACACTATCCTTGGCAAGGATAGTCAGAAATTCATAGGCAAACTAATACTCAAAGTCATAGTCAAGCCACTGATTTTGGCAATCATACTAGGTGGTCATATTTTGGAGGACTACATAAAATGATTAATTCAGAAGTTAAAGTTATGAGCAATGGCAGATTTATTCATGGTAAGAGATATATGTATGCGAGAGAAGAGTATGGACAGTGATAAATACACCTGGAGAAGGAAGCCTGTTTAGAACTGGATATGATCATCAGTTGACATTCCAAAAGAACCTTAATCTCAGATTTTAGGAAAGCCTAGGCAGGTATATGAAAAGTCTACTGAATAACATTTTAAGGCTAAAATGCAGAGTTTTTGGTAGGAGCAGCAATGTTGGGATTTGTAAAGCTACACAAGTACTTCCAAGTACTCTGGACCAATATAGTATCAAATATTGAGACACTGTACCAGGTAATTTAGAAACATACTGCCTTCTTCAATATTATGTCTTATTAACTTATTCCACAAATTTTAAGTATTGGTAGGTCTATAGGCAGTCTTCTAATTTCAGGAAAATTTTGGTAAGCATAAAAGAAGAAGTATCATTTCTTTGAAAAGTTTCAAGCAAACATGATAAAGTTTAAAAAAAAGTAAAATGAATAAGCAACATATATCAATATGACTTGTGAGATATTTTAGTCAAATAAAAACAAAACATTAAAATATATTGGAGGAGTATAGTTATTTTATCACTGACTAAAAAAAATACTACTCAGAATTGTTAACATTTCAGCTGAGAAATGAAAGTAAAAATAAAGATAAAAGTAGTTTACTACACCAAGAGTAAAAAAAAAAAACATTGTGGTTCAGGCCAAGGAAAAGCAAGTGCAGAAACTCAGAAATGGGAACAAACTTGAATATTCGAGAAGAAAAGTTCAGTCAATGTATCCATAATAAAGTATTCATCATAGAAGGTAACATAAGTCTTTCTGGATATTCATTGCGGTAAAATAAATTGGAGAATAAGGTAACTAACTTGGAAATTTTTTTTTTCGGTATTTCAGTTTACTATGATTTATGTGGAGACGTTAGTGACAGAATGAGAAAGTAGAAATATAAATCAATGGGAAGCTAAAAATATTTGTTGAATAATTATATGTATATAATGTTGAGAAAGAGGGTATTAAGAATGACATTTAGATAATTGGTTTTAGAAAATAGGTGGGTAAAAATAAAATAAGATGAGAAAAACCGAAGAAAATGCTATGTTCCATTAGAGCATTGAAAATTAAGAATGCGGTTTTGGTCATATTAAGGATAAGATACCTATTATACATGTAGTCTTTTATTTGTAGCTTCTCATATGAGGTTTAAAAACAGAGGAGATAATGAGCTGAAGCAGAGAGGAAATAAACTAATAGGTGTTACATAAAGTCAGGGGACTTGGTGAATTCAACAGAGAATAAAGTAAAGAACTCTGAGGCATATTTAATCTTACAGAAAAGAAGGATGAATGAGAAAAGAGATTATTAGGGAAAACCACAAAAGTGTAACATTGCTAAAATTATGAAGGAAATAACAAGAAGTGGGGAAGGGAGCTGGATTCAATCAGAATGGAGATTAGCTCTATGGGATAATTGGCCTCACTAAAGGAGGAGCATAGCATATTAATAATCCAAAGTTTAAGTTAATGTGCTAGAGTAGGCTCAAGTTAAAATTTTACATGATCACTAGGAGTAACCAGTGATAGAAGGAAGAAATGTTATTGAAAACGTATACAGATAAGATTTTTACAAAAGAAAGGAGTATGTTAAAGAGAAAGGAAAATAAATAGGTAGATAATAGAGATAAAAAGAGAAAGAGTGTTATGTTATTACACTTTTAAGAATGAAGGTAAGTAGAGATAATTGAAAACATGAGCTTCCAATTAAGAAGTCTGCATATTAAGGAGCAGTATCTTCAGATGAGTTAATACCAAGCAGGGTGGAAAAATTTTTCAGAGAAGAAACTGAGAAAAACTGGAAGTTTAGTAAATGCAGATTCATGGTTCCAGTGAAAAGACTGAAGAGTATGAGCTAAAGAGGAATTGAGTTACAATGAGATGTGCAAATCAGCATAGAAATAAAAGCTTGCTTGATGACGTGTGAGGGGCTACTTGCGATGACAGAGTATCACATGCATGTTAGAAAGATATGATTACATTTGTTAGTCTAAGGACCTTTGCTCTACTCAATGAGCGTGGTGGTCCAGCATTCAGACTCTGCTTAACATTTCTCTTGCACTCATAGAAATAAGCCCTATACAGTCAGCAAAAACAAGACAGGGAGCTGACTGTGGCTCAGATCATGAACTCCTTATTGCAAAACTCAGAATGAAACTGAAGAAAGCAGGGAAAACCACTAGACCTATGGATGGAAGATCAAAACATTGTATAGGAGGTGGTAATAAACAACATCCACAGGGGGAAAAAAAATGCAGAAAGGCAAAATGGTTGTCTGAGGAGGTCTTACATATAACTGAGAAAAGAAAATATATACTAATCTGAATGCAGAGTTCCAAAGAATATCAAGGAGAGTAAGGAAGTCTTCCTAAAGTGAACAATGCAAAGAAACAGAGGAAAACAATAGAATTGGAAAGACTAGAGATCTCTTCAAGAAAATTAAAAATACCAATGGAATATTTCATGAAAAGATAGGCACAATAAAGGACAGATACGGTATGGAGCTAACAGAAGCAGAAGATATAAAGAAGAGGCAAGAACACACAAAAGCGTTACACAAAAAAAGGTATTAATGACCTGGACAACTATGAGGGTATGGTCACTCACCTAGAGCCAGACATCCTTGAGTATGAAGTCAAGTGGGTCTAAGGAAGCATTACTCCAAATAAAGCATGTAGAGGGGATAGTCCCTCCACTGAGTTCTTTAAGATGTTGCTGTAAATGTGCTGCACTCAATATGCCAGCAAATTTGGAAAACTCAGCAGTAGCCGCAGGGCTGGAAAAGTTCAGTTTTCATTCCAATTTCGCAAAAGAATCTTCAAACTACCCCATAACTGTGCTCATTTCACAGGCTAGCATGTTAATGATCAAAATTCTTAGAGCTAGGTCAACAATAAATGAACCAAGAGATTCCGGATGATGAATTGGATTTCCAAAAGACAGAGAAACAAGAGATCAAATTGCCAACATCCACTGGATCATAGAAAAGTAGGTAATTCCAGAGAAACATCTACTTCTGCTTCATTGACTACACAGAACAAAGCCTTNGGATCCTCTATGACCCACATCCTAGAGATACATTTTTAAAATGTTTCTTATATCTGTAAGTATTAGTACATATATAATAAGTTTTATACAAGCATACTCTATTTTTTGAAAAGCATGAAAAATACACACTAGTCACATAATTATTGTCAGTTGCTGTTGTTGTTGAGTCACTCAGTCATGTCCGACACATACTCGGGTGTGCCCATATACTGCAGCACACCAGGCTTCATTGTCTTTTTCTGTCTCCCAGAGTTTGCTCAAACTCAGGTTCATTGAATTGGTGATGCTATCCAACCATCTCATGCTCTGTCTCCCCCTTCTCCTCCTGTCCTCAATCTTTCCCAGCATCAGGGTCTTTTCCAATGAGTCAGCTTTTCCCATCAAGTGGCCAAAGTATTGGAGCTTCAGCTTTAGCATCAGTCTTTCCAATGAATATTCAGGGTTGATTTCCTTTAGGGCTGACTGGTTCGATCTCCTTGCTGCCCAAAGGACTCTCAAGAATCTTCTCCAGCACCACAGTTCAAAAGCATTGTCAAAGATATTTTGTAATATCATCTTTATCTATTAATTTTTGTATGAAAAACAAAATATTTCCTGGAATTCACCCTACAGAAAAATATAATGATGTAAGCCAAAGAGATATGTGTAAAGATATTCATTTAATTATTAATAGGATAATGGATACAGTCTAATTTCCTATATATAGGAGACTAGTTACTTGATTAATGTTATATATATATATATACACACATATATATGTACACTGAAAATTATTTATACAGATATTTTAAAAAACTCATATGCTCATATAAGAATACATGCATCTTGTTATAATAAGAGAAAGAATAAATAAGGAGATTACTCATCTTTCTAAAAACATATGGTTGGGAATTTTCTACTCATTAATTTTGTTACATTTATATATCTTATAGGCAGCAGGCATAATTTTTTTAAATTCAGTTGATATAATGATAAAGAATTAAATATATCTAAAGGACCTACTGAACTAAATATTTCAGCTTTTAGCAATTTATTTATTTTAATACTCTTGTTTCTATAACAAGAAAACTCATTTCTCTTTATAAAAATACTAATAATTTGGATTTGACTATAATAAAAGCAGAGAGGAAGATCGAAGAACTATAAAGAAAAAACACTACTAAGTTTATATCAACTGTGATTGAAATGGAATTATTATTTGTTCATGTAATCTTTTTTGCTATTTTATTTTAATAAATTTTAGTATTATGATAGTAATAATTATTAAGCCAGTAATTCAGTTAATCCAGAAACATGATTAAGTAAATTAATACATGTACAGAATATTTATTTATTGAATACCAAATCATCAGTTATTTTAGATAGAATGCTCTGAGAACAAGTGAAATATATAGAGTATGTACTATGCGGTGATAGTTGTTATTTATATTTATACCTATTCTAAAAAGAATAGAAACAAAGAAAAAGGGAATAGATTTACCATTAGTTATGAGTCTGCTTTCAAATAATCAATTTTTAAAATAGTTTTTATCTTATTTAATGGACATCTATCCTTGTTACTATGGTAACATGAATATTAACTTACAGTTTGCATAGTTTATAATCTAAGAAAGTGTTCATAGCTGCTCTCACACTCTAAACAGAATACAATTGTGTTTATAGATACCTTGGTTTCCAAGACAACATGATATGCACTCACACGACTCTATGGAAACCAGAAAACTTGCAATTGGTGTTCAACACTTGTGTTAGCCAAATCTGTTGGGTTCTCAGTATAAATGCTAATGAAAGGAGGGTGGGCAGCTTACCCTCTCCATGTTTCAAAATAATGCATTTAAGCTCCAAATTCCTTTGTTTCCCTGAATAAAAGTTTTGTATAGACATAACATTACATTATTATTTATACCATATATAAAATATGACTATATTTTTAGCACCAAAGCATTTCTAAATGTTTATCAAGAGAAAGCACTATTTTCCTCTATCCTTAATTTACTAAGGTTTTCCTGTACAAAGCCATGCTTTGGAAACAATTCTTTCAAAAAATTTATACCAAAGACTTTAACAGATGTATTATTTATTCTGAATTGCCACACTGCATATTTTAAAATGACATTACCCATCATTTCTATGTCCAGTGGCTCCATTTAGCAAAGTTCAACCCATACCATAAGTAGATATTGAAAATCTTCCAATAAAATGGGCAAAGTGGCAGAAAAGTTATCTAATAAACCATCTCCTAATTCATCTTAAAATGTTCACAAAGGTATATACATAACTGTCAGAAATCTAAAAATATAAAATAATAAACATAGGACATGCTTTAGAATTTGGACTTCCCTTATGTCTCACCTGGTAAAGACTCCACCTGCAATGCAGGAGACCTGGGTGTGATCCCTGGGTCGGGAGGATCCCCTGGAGAAGGGAACAGCTACCCACTCCAGTATTCTGGCCTGGATAATTTCATGGGCTGTATAGACAGTTTTCTCCTATCTGCATAAGAATTGATATGGAAAAGCATGGTCACTAATAAAGAAGTATATGGAGGATTCAGACTTCATATAGCATTTTCCTAAATTAAGAGCCATAGGATTTGAGTAAAGCAGGCAAGCATTGACTTTATTTAATGTGTTCAAATTTGAGAAGAGTCTAGATCCATTCCCTCGTATTTCCTCCTTAATCAGTGTTCAACAAACAAGTTAAAGAAGGGTATGAATTTCAACACAGAAATAGCTATAGAATTTACCAAAAAAAAAAAAAAAAAAAGAATTGTGAAAACAGGAAATAAATAGCTCCCACATCTATAAATGCAGAGGATGTTCACTCTACTCAAATTAATGATGAATTAGCCATGGATTTGGCTAATTCATTTCAATGTATGACAAAAACTACTGTAATGATGTAAAGTAATTAGCCTCCAACTAATAAAAATAAATGGAAAAAAAAAGACACTAGCCCAAGGTCTAGCACATAATATCTAATAAATGTTATTAAATGAGTAAATAAATAATTGGTATTATAAAAAAAAATTAATGATGAGATAATAGTGTCAATCCAAACACCAATGGCAATGGGATATTTTGCTGAAGGGACATTAGAGATAGTGATCAAAGGCATCTCAAATAGTCTAATTGGCAACAAAGTTTGTCTTTCAGAACAGGAGTAAATTATTGTCATTTGAGCATCTGTTAGCAGGTTAATAACTAATTTGGAATTGTTTGGAATTGTTGCCTATCGTGAGGGAACAATTACTTACTATGTAGAAACAATATCCATTTCTAGTTGGTATGTAGATCATTCCCTTAACATGCTGAATGAATGAATAACTGATTCTAAAGAATAAAATTAAAGACTTACTTGACAAATTATCCATTAGGTCCTTAAAGTGTCAATGATTTTTCCCTCTATTTGTCTTATTAAGTCTTCATAACTTTTTAAAGGATAAGGTAAAACTAGACTTAACTGCCTTGATTAAATAATCCTCCCATCTATTCATCACATTTGGTGAATTGCAATGTGAAATTCAAATATGGTTGATTTGACATAGCAAAAATATTATGTCAAGAAACATCACTTCATAATTTCTATTTAATAGAAGAATAAAGGCTTACTAGAGTACTGAAATATGAAATGTTGTCTGGATTCCAGAGAAATTTCACTAGAAATTGTGAAAATGGAACTAAACAATAAAACAATATGTATAAGTATAATCTATAGGACAAATATACCAATGTATAGTACAAAAGAAGATAGAAAGTTTCCAAGGTTCCCAAGAAGATAGAAATAGTTCCCAAATAGCTAACTTCTCAATCAGAGCAGTCTATATCAACCGGAAGGCTCCCCTGGAGGCTGAGTGGTAAAGAATCTGCCTCCAGTGAAGGAGACAGAGGAGAAGCGGGTTCAGTTCACGGGTCAGGGAGATCCCATGGAGGAGAGCGTGGCAACCCACTCCATTACGCTTGCCTGGAGAATCTCAGGACAGAGGAGCCTGATGAGCTACAGTCTATAGTGTCACAAAGAGTTGACGTGACTGAAGCGACTGAGCATTTTTTTTTCATTTATTTTTATTAGTTGGAGGCTAATTACTTTACAATATTGTAGTGGTTTCTGTCATGCATTGACATGAATTAGCCATGGATTTACATGTATTCCCCATCCCGATCCCCCTTCCCAACCTCCCTCTCTACCCGATCCCTCTGGGTCTTCCAGCCCAGGTTGGATGCATGAGACAAGCAACTGAGCATTTTTATCAACCAGAAAACCAAGCTGGCATTCTTGTGTTTCATGTATGATGATATCTCTCTGCTTCCTATTCTAATTTGATAAGTCTAAGTTTGGAGAATAAAGTGAAAAGCATAATTTCTTTGTATCTTTATGATCTTTAATTCTGTGAATTTCTAACTATATACAAGGAAAAATAGATATTATACTATCTTGGTAACCTTAGAAGAAGAACTTACAGAAATTGCTTTCAGGAAAATATTAGCTAAAGTTAATTTCGTGGCCCATAATCAATTTTTGTCAAATATAACATAATGTTTTCTGAAATATATTACATTTACCTGTAACTTTAGAGGGAAGGGATGACCAAGTTTTTTTCTTAAGATATCCACAGAAGATATTTCCTAATTATGCTACTCATTTATAAGAAGTTTGAATATGTTCTCATATATCAATTTCTCCTGCAGCAATGAGAGTTTTTAAATATGAGGAATTAAAAATATTATATATATTTAAATTCAGTAGATTTAAAAATATTTCTGAAAGAAAGTTCTTGTTTCATGTATTTAATGAGCAAGAATAACCTTGAGAAATCCTATAGTTTAACATTAATTCATTATCTGTGAAAAAAGCAAGATCCATTAAAGATTAGTGACTAGATCACATTCAAATACTTTGTTAGTCTAAAAACTAGAGTGATATAAAATTCAAAGATTTTCTTAATAATTTTCTTATAGAAACATACTATGAATGCCATGAAATGTCACCATTTATTATAAAAAGAAATCTTAAAACACTCTCTTTCTTTCTTTTTTTTTTTATGCTTTGTAATAAGTGATTGGTGTTTCCTTGGTGGCTCAGTGGTAAAGAATTCACCTGTCAATGCTGGAGATGTGGGTTCAATCTGCAGGTTTGGAAGATCCCCTGGAGAAGGAAATGGCAACCCTCATCAGTATTCTTGCCTGGGAAATCCCATGGACAGACAAGCCTGGCAGGCTACAGTCCATGGGGTCACAAAAGAGTAGGACATGACTTAACAACTAAACAATATGTGCTTTGCCATAGAAATGCCTAAGTACATATGCCAAGAATAAAGATAGATATAGTCATCTAAATAAAGATCTTCCTTTAATGACAATATCATCTAAGGAGTGCTTCTCAAGCACACATTACATTCAAAGTTTCCTGAAAAAAATAAAAGACTCCTAACCTGATATTTTATATGGCACAGAATATCCTTACCTGTGAAAATATGCCTTATAAGAATGAAAAGTACTTTAAGTGCCTGATATCAGTGCTAGTTTTTTATTTTTTACATTTATGCAGCATTATAATTTCAAGTGTGTTTGAAGAATCCATGAGGGAATTTCAGTTTATTTATTGAGGACATATACAGATTAATGCCACACAATTAAACATACACTCATTTTTTCTGACACTGGTATCTATTAACAGGTTTACATAAAACTCTTTTCCCACTATTTTTGAACTTATAGTTGTGAGATAAATTTAGATTTCTTTAAAAAAGAAATGACCAAGCTTTGAGATTTTTCTAGGTCTTGATTGAAATTTGAAGATCCTATCCTTTGCTTAACTGACAACCAGTAGTTTTTGGCTGTACAATAATCCAAGATTGTAAGATCTGACTACACCCAAGATATTGCCATTGATTGGAATTTTTCTTAGCTGGGCATTTAATTCTCTGAGGCATTTGGGGGCATCCACTAGGCCAACTCATGTATCTGCTCTTATTATAAGACAAGTCCTGTTAACATATCATATATTTGCCTGTGTTTCAGCAGTCAAGACATAATGAAATGTATTTGACCTTTGAGTGAAAGTTCCCTAAAATTATAAAAGCCAGAAATGAGCCAAGACCTGTGACTCAAGAAATCACTGAAATGTAATTTTCTCCTGCAAAATTCTACATTCTAGATAAGTGGTGCAGTTTCTGAAAATAAGCTTAGTTTTTGCTAATTTTAAGTTTTATTTTTTTTTTAATTTCCATCAAATAAATAGCCCTAACTAGCAAAATATCTTCTCTGAGTAGGGAGGAAAATATATTTCATTACAATATTTTGAAATCTTTTATAGGCATTTTGTGAAACTTCTATGAGCTTAGGTTGAACATGCTATTATTAATGTACAACTTGTTTCAAAGGTTAGAGGATCTTGTTTAAATTTGCTGAATACTAGCAAAAGAAAAGTTAGAGAATTCTTTAAACTAGACTCTTCATCGAGCAGGAAATGAGTTACTTTACCCAACTTAACATCACAAAATGAGAACTGGACAAGAAATATACCCCTGGAACAAGGCCAGTGCAGTGGTTTTTAGAATTCCACAAGATTTTGTTTCTCCAAACATTCTTTGCTGACCTGTCATGATAAAATTTGCTTTGCTTAGTAGCATAAACATATTAAA